TCATAGTTTCACATTTTGTTGCAGTTTTCAGATGTTATTTTATGGCATCAATTCAGTTTATTTATTCTGAATTAGAATAATCCAATCCAATCATAAACTCGTATGCAGAGACATTTTACCTGCATTCCAGTTTAGATTCCATTTATTATTCAAACTGGTAAAAACAAAACAAACAAAACTTGAGAAAACCAGTCGGTGCATCGAGCTGCTGACTGTGCAACAATCCCTCCCCCTGAGCAACATGGAGCAACAGTGCTGATTAGATTAACATGTTAATTCTGCAACAATCTCTCATTCTGAATAAAGCATGTGGAGACAGTAGGAAGGAAATCTCCCTGTCAACAGAAAACACTGAAGACAAACACATTTCACTATTGTTGCATGAACTGATGATCACCTCCACTGAGAAGCAGCAGCAGCATCAGGGAGTTCAGGCTGAGAGCAGCAACAAAGGGAGAACAACAGAGTCCTGCTGCCGCCAGGGCAGAACCGGCTCAGCAGTGGCAGCAGCTGGTTGGAGCCTTCAGATTTTTATCCCAGAGCAAAACGGAGCAGAACCATTTTCTCTGGAACCAGCAGTAAAACATTCGGGTCCATCTAGGCTTCCTCACAGTTCCTCATTATTGTTTTCTATATGCATATATTTAAAATTCTTAATTATGTTTTGGATTTTTTTATTGTATATATATATATATATATATATATATATATATAATTTTTTTATTTCATTTTCCAAATTATTTTTATTTTTTATTCAATTATTTTGTAATATTAAAAATTAACATATTTTACAATTTTATTGTCTTACATTTTGTTGATGTTTTATTTATATTCATTGCATTTTTATTTTTTTCTTTGTTTCATTATTTTCTTTTATTTTTTTGTTAATTTTTCTTTGTGTTTAAGTTTTTTATTTATCCTTCCTTTTTCTTTTGTTTTTTTCTATTGATTTTCTTACTTTTTCCTTCTTTGTTTTTTATTCCTTTTTTAGATTATTAATTCTTTTTGTTATTTTCGCATTCTTATCATTTTTTTCTTTCCGTTTTTTTGCTGTTTTAACTTTTTTATTGATGTTTTATTAGTTCTGCTGTCCTTCTTTCCTTCTCCGCTCCATTTTTTCTGAAGAACACAACCATAAAGATGAGTGGACCAAACCGTCCTCCAGGTGGAACCTCTTCCAGGACCATCTCTGGTCTTTCCTGCAGAGCAAAGATCAGACAGAAATCTGATCTATGAAAGTTCAACACTCAAAGTTTTTACTTTTCATCAAAACTGTAGATAAAAATAAAAGATTTTGAAAGTCGTGACATTTTAAAATATAGAAAATCCACAGAAAACATCATTAATGTCACTAAGAAAAATCAAATAAAAACTAAATGAGTTTAAAACCTGCTGAGGAACAAAACCTGTTTGCTTTGAGCGTCTTAAACATGACTCAGGATCCACTCTGAGGATTCATGTTGCAGCCGTTAGTTGCTGCCAGGCGAATTAATTATTTATTCAGCTGCAGGTAAACCTGAATTCCAGTTTACCTGCATTCCAGTTTAAATTCCATTTATTATTCAAACTGGTAAAAACAAAACAAACTAAACCTGAGAAAACCAGTCGATGCATTGAGCTGCTGACTGTGCAACACTCCCTCCCCCTGAGCAACATGGAGCAACAGTTGCTCAGGGGGCAACTGTTGCTTTTAAAGATTCTTTGTTCTTTAAAAACACAGAATCTTAAAATGAACCCAGGCTGATTGGTGAGTTAAAATGGACAGTAGCATAAAAGCTGCATGATGAACGGTTCTTTGCAGGTTAATATTTTCTGCTTTTATTGTTTCGTTTATGTCCAGTTCTGATGATGAAGATGTGATGGAGGAGCATCAGAAAATCAGCAGGATGGTGGGAGAATCACTGCAGGCTGCAGATCAGGAGCAACTAGAGCCGACAGGCAGGAAGAAACCGCAGCTGGTCAGGTATCCACTATGGGTTATTAAATTTAATTTAATTAAACATACTTGAGGGACAGAGAAGGGATCCCCAAAATTACAAAATTATATATATATATATATTATTCTAGTTTTTTATTCATTAGCATCCACAGTGTTAGCCTCATAGCATATTGGCTAAGTTATATTTTAGCATTTTTGCAATAAAATATGGAAAAGACAGATTTTGGACTGAAACAAATGTTCTGAAAGACTGAGGTAATGAGCAGCTGGCCAGCTTATGTAGCTTTGAAGGAGATCAATACACAGATATAAATATGACTATTATATTTATATCTGTGTATTATTGCCTATTAGGCAATAATGCTAATAGGTTAGCATGTGGGCGCTACACCAACTGCCCAAACCTAAAGCAGTAATCATAAACATTCATCCGCTAACACTAAACCCCATTAAAAACATTTATTAGCATAATCTAATGCTAAGATGGCTAAATATTTCAAAGTTATCACAAACAGTGTTGGCGTCGCAGTTAGCTCATTAGCAGAGGTGTGTCCAACACTCCATGTTGGATTTATGTTAATGTGTATTTAAAGTAGATATATTTTTATTTTAACCTATAAACCAAATTAGCATTAAATTAGCATTGTTGGAAGTGAAGAGTCATGTATGGAGGAATAAAACTATATTTTTTTATATTGGGTAATAATTCTCTCTGCTAATCTCTGCAGGTCAAAAACTTTAGACAACTCCATGCTGACTCAGGTCCAGATCGACCCAGAGTCCAAGATAGACAGGAAGAAGTCCCACTACAGCCAGGTGAGTCTGATAGGTTATTAATTGGTTCTGTCCAGGCCTACGATCAATATCTGCATTTCCACTGAGTAGGTAACTG